GTTATGTTAATTACCGTACTTTTTTGGACATTAGCGAAATTCTTTTTAACCCACTAAGGCGTTCTATCACACTACTTAATGGATGGAGCATCAATCCTGCCGCCATTATTTTTGGATATTCGGCCGGGTGATCGAGTAGTCGATGCCTGCGCTGCGTCCGGTGGCAAATACTTACTAATGTTGCAAACATTATATCCTTCTCAAATAGTGTGCAATGATTTGATGGAATCCAGAGTTACTCGCATACGTAAAGTAATGAAAGAATATCTATTTGATTATCATGAGCGTTGGGAAGGGCGGCGTTTATTATTGAATCAATGTGATGCCCGCAAATTGGATGAATATGGTACCTTTGACAAAGTTCTGGTAGATGTACCTTGCACGACAGATCGCCATTCATTGATGGAAAACGATAACAATATTTTCAAACCAACTCGTATTAAAGAACGTTTGCGCATACCTGAGCTTCAAGCGGCAATTTTAGCAAATTGCTTACGTTTGCTTAAACCGGGCGGAAATTTAATATATTCCACATGTTCCTTGTCGCCGATACAAAACGATGGTGTTGTCCATATGGCAATGCAAAAAGTTTTTAATGATTTCGGCTTAACATTTACTATTAAAGATCTAAGTTCGTTGATACATTTATTTAGTGACATATACCGTTTCGAACGCCCTAAAGGTTTAAAGTATGGTCAAATGGTTATACCGTATTTACCGGCCAATTTTGGACCAATGTATTTTAGTAAGATTACAAGAGATGAATGAATGAATAACGATGATGCGATTCTTTCGAAGCAAGAAGCAAATGAAATTAAAATTTTGTACAGTTTTCCACACTTTTTACCGATGATAGCCTTAAAGGTGTTACTGAAAGATACGGCGATCATATTATACAGCTTACTGACAGATGTTTATGTGGTATTGATCACTGGAAAGCTCTACGAGCTGGAAAATGTGTTTACGCCTATTTATTATTATATGGAGAAATGCTTTGGAGACATGGAAAGCTACAGATTGTTGAAATGATGTGCCAATTATTTAACTCAAGGATTACTCCTCAATTTTGCTAATGTTAATATCGGCTCTCTGAATAAAAATTATATATCAAAAATGGTGCATAGTACAGTATGTTTCCGTACTGTCTGGAAAAAAGTATCTTCATTCTATTTCACATTGATTCATAACATCAGCACTATTAGGTCAGTTCAATATTACATAGTAGCTGCGCAAATAAATTCTTTGTACTTCTTGATGAGATTCAAATTTATTTAAAATATATTTGTTACAAAGCTTAATAAGTAAAATGTTTACCGTCGTTATTTGTGGTATTTTGTTTCTTGTCGGGTAGTTTATAGATGCTATATAGGTAGAAGCTTTAAGGGCATTTTCGCAGATCTTCAACTTGCAGAACCGTTACTCTTCTCAGATGTTAATTAGGAGACAGACGTGATCAATACTCTCAACTGGTAGCAAGATCGGATGTTAAGGTTGAATCCTCGGTTGTTTTTGCTAGTGATAACTGCGAATATTTCACTTTCTGTTTTATAGTTTAAGGCAGTTTCACTCCAAACCAACTTGATAATTTCAGAAGCTTCAGCTGAAAGTTTTCTTGTTTGGTCCTCTTAGAATCGCGGGGACACATATATGAGATCAATTTACTTGTTATATACTGAACGACTACTTCTAAAGAAATGAAGCTTGTGCCGTATAAACACCAACGTCTGAGCTAGATATACACGAAATTATCAGAAGAAATCAACAATTTCAACACAAAGGATTTTATCGCATTTCTATTATATAAATTTATTGAAATTGACTATGAACGTGCAAATAATACAATTATACTGAGAATAAGAATTTAAAATCAAAAAGAGAAATTGCTATTCGCCAATTAAATTATTATCTGCCTTGGAAAGTCTTTAGCGATTTCATTTAAAATCTTCCAGTTAAGTATTTGAAATATTTGCTCAGTACGTTTCTTGTTTTCAATATTCAGTGTAGCTTAAGTAATATCATTGTTGAGCTTCTATGTTTTTCGTAAGAAAATCAGTGAAGAATATGGCAGAATGTATCCAATACAGGAGAGGAAAGGACTTATGTCTTCTTCTTCTTTTTCGGTCTACTCGGTAATGGGCCGGGAACCTTGAAAACAGTACTGAAAAGAAAAGGTATACAATGTTTTTCTTTTTCACAAAATGCAAAAGCAATTGCAAGACTTACTGGCAAGTTGTGCAAATGGGACTAAATTTGCAGAAAACTAAATGGAAATATTTTTAGAATTACATCTTTGTTATGTTAAGATATTACTACTCACTTGATAAGCACACTGAGCATACGTAACCAATGTCAATCAATTCGCGGTGACAAAAACAAGCCGCCCTATAATCCACCTTAGCCGGAGGTGGTAACACCAATTTCTGACGCATACTTGGATCAGGTAAAAATACCCATAGCAAATACTGCAATAAACCATCGAGCTGAGTTAATCGTAAGTATTGACCACCTGTAATATCGCAACCCTGCTGCAGTAAACTCAATGATTTATCCAAAGCGCAAATATCTAGAACAACGCCCAATTTCTGTGCTGTAAAGAACACATTCATATAGGTCATGTATTGAGATGCACATTCGTTGCTTCCCGTCAATACCAGTATACGGGATTGTATTTTTGTCCCGGCTTGCGCATTGCGTTGTACCTGGAAACTTCATATTGACAAGTTTTCAAGAAACAAAAATTCGTGAATATCTTTTTTACTGACCCTTGCTATGTAACATAAAGCCATTGACAAACTGCCAGCCAATAAACTCTCAGCTGATTGGTTTAATTTAGGTGCATTGCAAATAATATGACTTAAACGTTGCTTTACTGTTTTTTCAACTAAACTAAAGGCTTCGTATTGACCATCTATTTGGCGCACTTCCAATTGTTTACCGGGCGTTGGATACAGAAAATCCCTGAGGATATATATTAGGCGAATTTCACTGTTTGGAACTTTGCAGCTCTATGTTAAAACTTACGTGGCATGATGATGACAAGATAGTACAGCTAATTTATTTTGCGCCTTTTGCATTAAATGAGCATTTCCAAATGCAATAATAGCATCTAAAATCTGTGACAAATGGCCAGGATTTTGGCGGATAACACGTTGCGACGGATTTGTATCCACTAGGATGGCCAGCAAATTAACAATGTTTCTATCTTTTTAATGAACCAAATGAAAAATTAAAATACCATCTAATTTTCACAAGCTATAAGATTACCTGGATTTTCTGGTGTCGACTTTTTCATCGCGCTTAGCGTTATAATAACAATTATTTAAGTTTGTTCCTAAAAAAGACTTGAAACAATATCAACTCACTTATGATAATGTACAGGAAACTCAAATACGAAAACTAAAATATTATTTTACAAAATTTTATTATCACTACTCTTAAGCTATTTATTTTTATTAATAAATCTCCGTTTATTATAGTTTTTTTATTCTTTTTTTTTTTTTGAGAGTTGCCAGCAGCTATAGTAATAACAATTAACAGCTGATTTATGAAGTATCACAAATTTATAGATTGCAAATTTAATGCAGAAATTGCATTCGGAAAACTTGGGCGTTTTACCAACAACCCGGTAGTGGAATATTATTGATAATCATTCCTTAACCTCGCTTCATCATGCTTGTACTTGTCTTGGGTGATTTACATATACCCCACCGCTGTAGTAGTTTACCAGCCAAATTCAAAAAACTCTTAGTGCCCGGCCGGATACATCACATATTAGTTACAGGCAATCTTTGCACAAAAGAGTCGCATGATTATCTAAAAACATTAGCCAACGATGTGCATATTGTACGCGGTGATTTTGACGAAAACCTTTCATATCCCGAACAAAAAGTGGTGACAGTTGGTCAGTTTCGTATTGGTTTATGTCATGGCCATCAGGTTGTGCCAAGAGGTGATCCGGAAGCCTTAGCGTTAGTGCAACGACAATTAGATGTGGATATACTTATAACGGGCCATACTTATAAATTTGAAGCCTACGAGCATGGTAACAAATTTTATATAAATCCCGGCTCGGCAACTGGAGCATTTAATCCGTTGGATACAAATGTAATACCTTCATTTGTTTTAATGGATATACAAAGTTCAACTGTTGTGACATATGTTTATCAGCTAATAGGCGATGAAGTCAAAGTGGAGCGTATTGAATACAAGAAAATCTAATTGAGCATTTCATGAAATCTAATATAGAGCGATGTTAAGATACATACATACATATATTACGTTACCATTAAAAGTACTTTGATTTAAAAATGAAAGAGTATTTTATAAAAAAAAAAAAAAAAAAAGAATTATTATATGTAGTTTAAGGTCAAACCCGCCCTTTATAACAAAATGCAGATTCATTCTTTTTATCATGATTTAAAAATATCTTTATTTCTTCTTTAAAATATAATAATGGGAAAATAAATGGTTTTATTTAATTAAAAGCAAAATATGAATAAATAAAAATATAAAAAATTATTAAAATTTAAATATAAAGTCAATATATTTCGTCACTTTCTCTCTTGCTATATCATTGGGTTAAATGTTTTCATTTTTTTTTTTATTAGAGAATTAGTTATCAAAAAATTTCAATTATATACTGTTATGATTATATAAAGTTTTTGATTGGCATTGGTTAGTATTGTTTTTGTAATTATTATATATTATGTACGATTTTCAGAAGATATGATATTTGTAGGGTTTAGTGAGAAAGACCAGCATCTGCGGCAGCAGCGACCGAAACTTCCAAGCAAACATTTAGCCCAGACTATCAACACATACAGTCTTCAACGTTTTGCCAGAAATGGTTGTCTTAAATTGTTCCGGTAAAGGCAATTCAGTCTGAAATTATTAATAATGTTTTGTAACAGAATTTTTTTTATTAAAAAAATGGAAGGTTTCATCTTACATAGTCACCGCTGTCCTCAGGCAACATTATATTCATTTCTGAAGATTTCGAGCTAACAACTTCCACACCCAAAGAATGCTTAGACAAGTACATCTGACAACCATCAGTCTTGTCTATAGAAATGGTGGGCACGTGACCTAATACCTGCATTTGTACACTTTGACAGTTAACAAATTCAACGGAGGCAACTACTGAATCAAACAATAAGGAGCATTTTTTGCACGAATCCATAACAATGTTATTAACTTTTCCTTTAACGGTTAAAGTAGAACCTTCGCTTTTGAACACGTACACAACATTATTCATCTCCGCATTCTCTACCAATAAATTGGGATTATTTTTCTGATATTCAATCAACCACTTTTTGCCGTCTCTAGTAAAAATGGGATCTTTCACCATTGAGGCGGCCGCAGGGCCAGCTGCACTTACGGAACCAAATTGCGTTGGTTTAAAGGGTGCAGGCCCAGTGCGTAACGTTGGATTTTTATGTGTTTGCATATCGGCAGTAACTTTCTTCAGATCTACAATCATCAAAGCAAGAAAGAAAAAAAAATGAGGAAAAATTTATTTAAAAAGTTGATGAATTTATACTCTTGGTGATGGCTTCGCCTTGATTGATTTCGGCAAACAGAGCACTACGCTCATCTTTAGAGCCGTCCAAGCTCATGGAAGACAAGTCAAAAGTGGGTGGGGGAGGCGGTGGAGGACATGCACCCATAGGTGGTGGGGGAGGGGCGACAGCAGTGCCCTTGCCAGACCATACTAATCCTGTGGTATGAAATTGCTTGATATACTGCTGCAATTCCGTTAGAGTTTGCACCCAAGCCCGAGCCCATTCCACATGCGTGACGTCCTTTTCTTTCCATTCTTTTAACACACGATTTGTGTAAAATTGACCTGCATCGTTCATTTCCTTAACGTGAGGTCCCGGAGTAGGAGACTGTTACATATATATATATATATATATATATATATATCGTATGATGTTAAAATGTTAATTTAATTTTTTTTATTTTTTCATTGTTTAAATTAACCTACCACACATACCCAGCCCAGAGCGGGTATACTCTCGCTTATAGCTGATAAATGATTGAAAAAAGGCGAAGCACGATTTTTCTCACGAAAATCCTGTATCGCGGTAATTTGATCGGAAGTAGGCTTAAGCAATGCCATTTGCTTATCTTGACCAGGCTGGGAGCACTGAGTAGCTAAATTTACATATTGCAGCTGAGCTCTAAAAGACCATAAATTTTAATAAATATATAACGTGTTCAATCATTATTGCAAATTACTCGAAGGCCAATTTCACAAACTCGGCTTGCTTGGCCACGTCGCCTCCAATTTTATAAGAGAGAGCCAAATACTGACTCAAAGGTCCATTGACAATATCTTGATAGCCCACAACGCTCATACTTTCTAATTCTTGCACTGATGGTAGGGGTGGCGGTGGCGGAGGCAAAGATGAGTCCGATTGATACTCCTCTAAAACTGTTGGTATATTCTCGAGACTACCCTCCTCTTTTTGTTGATTGGCAGGTTGATTGCTTTGATTATTAGTTAAACTTAGGCTAGCGCTTTGACTACTTAAACTGTGACGTTCGTTAATTTTCGTCAGCGATTCTTCTATACGTTCAATGCGTTGATTTAAACTTTGCGTTTGCTCAGTTATGGAGAAATTTTCTACTGGCACTGGCGGCAGTTCGGTCGATTCCAAATCAAAACTTTCACGTTTCTTTTCCAAAACCGAATCGAAAGTACGATTAGCTATTTCCAATTCTCGTGCGCAAATAGATCGTTCCAAGCGTTCTACTAACTTTTCAAGGCGATTAACGAGATTCTCAAGATTTTCAGCCACTGATGATTTTAAATCAGGATCGCAATCTAGACGGGAATGAACATATAACATTTAATTTAATAAATGCGAAATAATATTCGAAATAATATATCTGTTAACAAATTGGAAGAATCACAATAAGTTTTAAATTACAAAGAAAACAGTGCAGTGCAATGACTTAAGGACAATTGTGACGAATTAAAAAATTATTTGTGCGAAATTTGTTATTTATTACGTTCTTAATATTTGAAAAATGAATTGAATAATATCTTTTCCCTTCTTCTTCTTCGTCTTCTATTCAGCAAATATCAAATCGAAAATTTGCTGTGATATGTAAAAGAGGCCCAATGTGTAGCAACAAAGTTCTTTGTTTGAGCCTTAATGAAGTTAAGTCTAGTTTTGATTATGTAATTATTATTATTTATTTATTTGATTATTTCTCTTCCCTTCTTTATAATCTATTTCTTCTTCTTCTTCTTCTGTCTTCTATTCACTAAATTAGCAACCGGAAATTCGCTGGGAAGTGTAAAAAATGCCCAATGTGAACGTAGAGTTCTTTATTTGGGGCCTTAGTAAAGTTGAGGTTAGATTTGGAATATAGTATTATTATTATTTATTTCTTTTACCGATTATTTGATCAAAGTTTTTAATTTTGCATGTTATACGTCCGCCATGTTATTTTTTTTTTTTATAGTTTTTATTAAAATATGCATATTACTCGTTCGCCACGTAGGATAGAACAGAAGAGCGAGGAGTAAATTGCGATGTGTATGATGTAATATGATACATGGGTATAGAAAGTTATATCAAGGAATTGACAGATGCGAGAGCAAAAGAGTGTAGGTTCTTTCTGAACCTAGGCGACTGTAAACGTTTATACGTCTTGATGACATGATTTAAAAGAAGAAAAGTTTGCTAGAACCCAAAATGTCACGAAGACAGTGACGAGAAGTGTGGAATGGCAAATAGAAATGGTCACATCTGGACAGAAAAATATAATATGATCGGGAGATTGTAGGACCTCACTTGTACATGAAGGGCTATATTGACTATGTAATTTGGAATCATTGATTGATTTGATCATTACATCTTGTGCGATTGAACATTAGCCTGCTAATAAGACAAATAATGTCACGTCCGAGCCCGCAGTTGATAAATCAAGAGGCTTTATTTATTTGTGGAAGTAAAGAGTATAAATGACGACCACCATCGCTGTTATCAAGAAAGAACTAAATGCTTTTTTTTGATTGTCGTCAGACCTGCAATCTATTGTCTTATGAAAGAAATTGTTTATAGAAGGAAACTGTCAAAATATTTATATTTGGCATTATTTTCAAAAATGTTCAACTGTTACATTACATTACTGCAACTCTGGTGAAGCTTTTGGGGACCGCTTTTGATTCATTTTTAATTTCTAAGATAAATCGGAGGCATTAAAAGCATTTCTTTTTATCGGTCCTCCTTTCGCGATTTGTGACTATTCAAATGGACAGATTTTAACTTGACTTTCCCTTAATCCACATTTCTGACATCTGGTATGCCTATTTGCAGCAGTTACCATGTCGTTATCATTACTAAAGAAGGTTTATTAACTTGAATCAAATTATTTAATTGATCCTCCTACACTCCGGGTGTATTTATGCCGACAAATGGAATATCGGGAGAAATTTAAGAAAGACGTGCGTTTTACGATACCATTTTTTGAATTAATTTAAGAAATATGTGGCTCCTTCTCTTTAAAATAAATTTTTTCATGTATTTTCCTGTTCAGCTTGCGAGGCGTGATTTTCGTGATATTACGACGAAATCTCGTAAGCTGATATGTTCGGCCGAAGAACGAATTGCGTTACGCAATAAATGCCTTGATATGGCAACAAGCTTAAATTTTCGTATTTCGGGACGGATATTGGTCAACGAGAGTTATTTAATATAACACTGTGATCAGAAAGTAAGGTCCACATTCAATTTAGCTTGCAGTCATATATCGAACGTTGATTTGAAATACTTTTCTTTTTTTTTTTAAATTGGCAGTGCCGCGACAGACGTGTATGTCAAATTGCGTATTATAAACGTTATTAGTGTTTCAACTGCGCTTGGTTTGGACGACACTAAGTATTTTTTCCCTCTTTTTTCTTGAGTAAAGAAGTTGCATAATATATTGTTTGCAAGGTGAAATGAGATGAGACTTGGATCTAGGTATATCGTGCGAAAGGTAAGCGAAGATCGAAATCCACTCCGCCAAAGTCGCTCAAAAATCAAGGTAATCTTTATAGTTTTCTTCGATTGCCGTAGTGCCGCGCATTATGAATTTCTTCTGCCGGATCAAACTGTTAACAAGGAGTATTATTTGAACTTGAGGATTACTTTGTAAGCGACGAAATAGATTTGAACTAATAAATAGATTTAAAAATGAAAAAATAAAAATCGTTTTACTTTCTGGACAATATACCTTAGTTGAGATAAATTTAGAAGAAATAAATACATTCGTCGAGCCAATCTAATAAAAATACACTTTTATATGGCAACAAGGTATTTGTTTTGATATTTTATAACGAAAACAGTCGGCCTTGCTCGATTATAAATTTTTTTTTTTTTGCTATTTATTTACTTATTTTGTACAGTTTTTTTTTCTGGTGGTCATAAGTGCCGCAACAAGTCTACGTAAAGAGCTAAGAAGAGTAATTTTTTTCCAGATTCGGCAATTAATGTAAACGAAAAGCATTAAGATTTTATTTCGTTAAGAAACTAAAGGAAATGACGTCAACGTAGTTACCGTTAGTAACAAAAAACATGTATGTAGAGCTCATTATAAATAATTGTTGAATTAAGAATACTTTTGCAGATGTCGTTTCGCTCTTCTCTTCCTCTGCAAGTAATATAAACTAAAATTTTTGGAAATAAATTGAAAATTTTGAAAATTCGTTTGCTTATGCAATTTGAATACAAAATAATTTGCACATGTTCAAATAGATATGCATTTGCACATGTACCATTAATAAATGTAAAATTTTATTTATAATAAAAAAATTTTTTTTTTTTGAGTCTAATGTGAAAATATTGAGCAAATGTGAATGGATTTTAATGGTCGGCTGAGGATAATGGGGGGGGGGATTAACTTTTGTATTACCTATACACAGTTTAGACAAATAAGAACATTATAATCGGGCAAGGCCGAACATTCGCCTAGTACAGTAAGTAAGTGGACCAATCTGAACCATATTCAACAGCGTTCGTCCGAGTGTGCAAATTTCATCAAAAAAATATCACAAGGATTGAGACCTGTACGTTGAACACAAAGATGTATGGACAGAAATCAGAAGGGACATAATAAAAAGTGGAGCTATCCTAAGTTCTCCTGGATGTTGAATTTGTCCGCACAAACGCGATATATCCTGAACCGCAAGTGGCCATATGGTTCGAGGCTTCGAAAGCGAGTCTTCGAATATGACGTTTAATTAACGAACTCTTCACAAATTTTTAAAAAGTTTATATTGAATGCTGCGGCTGATTGCGACCTTTGTATTACCACGCCTCCGTAAAGAAAATGTTTGACGCTTTCACATAATTTATGACTTCAAAAGTAATGCTTTGTTCAAAAAATAAAAGGAATTTTTATTTTAACAAATATAATGTTGGATGGGCGTGGCCAACTTTTTCTGTTTTTATAGAATAAAGATGAAAATTTATATCGTCTGTCCGTTGCAATTCATGCAAAAAATTTAGAAAGCCGCAATGTTCTCAATTTATATTGCACTGTGGGCGTGTCATTTGGCCCATTTTCAATATCAACCTGCTTGCAAGGACTTTCAATGATGAGATATCTGCAAGTTTTGCGACCAATAGTACGTATGCCATGGCAATTAACAGACAGATGGACAGACCTAGGGACAATCACGACTAAAACGATTCAGTTATGATAATAATCACTAATATCTAGATTTTATAGGGCCTCTGGAGCCTCTTTCTGGGCGTTGCAAATGTTTTCAAAAAAGTATGAAATTTTAATATTCTATAATATTTAGCAGACAGTACCGACTGTTTCCATTTTTTTACAGGTGTTACATGACAATATAAATGCCAATCTATTGTGGTTTATAACTAAGGAGAAAAAACTTTCTTCTTCTTTTAATTTTTTTTGAAAACAAAAATAGTCTCAGTTTACGTTGCACTATAGTCGAATTCTTTAAACAATTTGGGATCATTTTCAATACAAAACTGTCTGCAAGAGCTTTCAATGTTTCTGCCAAATTTCAAGCCGGTAGATTAATTTTTGAGGCTCACGTTTACCACAAACATGACATGGGGAGGCAAGGGAACATGTTTAAATCGATTTAGAATTTAATGCTGATCAAGAATGTATATATTTTATAGTGTCTCTGAGGGTTGTACACGTTTTGACGGTATGGATATAATTTTCATTCTTCGCTGATGGTTATAAGAAGAAAGAAATTTTTTAATAATTTTCTCTCTTAAAATTTCATAATTTTACTTCAATTATGAAGATATGCTTGGTACATTACATTTCTTGCACGAAAAGGTGCATGCTTTCAATGCGAACTGATTTTTCTTAAGTTGATGCAACTATTATTAACGCTTGATTTCGCAGTGTCATAAATTCGAGCGTCTTTTGTAATTACTGGAAACTCGGCATAATGATCTTCAATTGACTGAGAATGATTACCAACGCGATGACGGGGTTTTTTTTAACTGTGGAAAAGGAAGCTGACCCTATTAGGCGAGTATTTTGTTCGGCTGAACGAGGTTAGCTTGAGGTTAACGAGGAATTGTTTTGCCAATAGAAATTCTTTATGCGTTTACATTAATGTAAGCGATACTGATGAAGATAGCATTTCGTACTAACTCTTTGAGACGGGCTAAGTAACATCCAGTCAACTACATGGCATGATAATCGGGTAAAATAATCAGCGCAATTATAAAATGTGATTTTCCATAAAACGATATTTCTTAGATTCCAGATCACCTGTTGCACGATATTCGTTCGATTTGTTAAAGAAAGAAAGATGAAATTCTTGGATATGGTTTTCAG